TCCATTGGGAACCCCTTGATCAGTTCAATGGTTAGCTGTGAGCATTGCCTTTGTATATTTCAGGCTCTGGCAGACCTCTAAGGAGACAGCTGTATCAGGTTCCTGTCAGCATGGACTTCCTGGCATCTACATCAGCGTCTACCTTTGGTGACTGCACAAGGGTTGGACTGTTCCAAGTGGAACAGTTTCCGGACAACCATTCCTTCAGTTTCTGTCCCACTCTTTGTCTCCATATTTGCTCCCATGAGTATTTTGTTACTCCTTCTAAGAAAGGCCAAAGCACCCACACTTTGGTCTTCCTTGTTCATGAGCTTCATGTGGTCTGTGAGTTGCATCTTGGATATTGTGAGCTTTTGGGCTAATATCCAATTATCAGTGAGTGAATACCATGTGTATTCTTTTGTGATTGGGTTACCTCACTCAGGATGATATTTTCTAGTTCTGTCCATTTACGTAAGAATTTCTTGAATTCATTGTTTTTAATAGCTGAGTAATATTCCATTGTGCAAATGTACCACATTTTCTGTATCCATTCCTCTGTTGAAGGACATCTGGGTTCTTTCCAGCTTCTGGCTATTATAAATAAGGCTGCTATGAACATAGTGGAGCATGTGTCCTTGTTATGTGTTGGAGCATCTTCTGGGTATATGCCCAGGAGTGGTATACCTGGGTCCTCAGGTAGTGCTATGTCCAATTTTCTGAGGAAGCACCAGACTGATTTCCAGAGTGGTTGTACCAGCTTGCAATCCCACCAACAATGGAGGAGTGTTCCTCTTTCTCCACATCCTTGCCAGCATCTGGTATCACCTGAGTTTCTGATCTTGGCCATTCTGACTGGTGTGAGATGAAATCTCAGGGTTGCTTTGATTTGCATTTCCCTGATGACTAAGGATATTGAACATTTCTTTAAGAGCTTCTCGGCCATTTGAGTTTTCTCACTTGAGAATTCTTGGTTTAGCTCTGTACCCCATTTTTAATAGGGTTATTTGGTTGTCTGGAATCTATTTTTTTTTTGAGTTCTTTGTATATATTGGATATTAGCCCTCTATCAGATGTAGGACTGGTAAAGATCTTTTCCCAATCTGTTGGTTGCCATTTTGTCTACTGACAGTGTCCTTTGCCTTACAGAAGCTTTGCAATACCTTAGTGTGAATCTAACCAAGCAAGTGAAAGATCTGTATGACAAGAACTTCAAGTCTCTGAAGAAAGAAATCAAAGAAGATCTCAGAAGATAGAAAGATCTCCATGCTCATGGATTGGTAGGATTGACGTAGTAAAAATGGCCATCTTGCCAAAAGCAATCTACAGATTCAATGCAATCCCCATCAAAATTCTAAATCAATTCTTCATAGAGATAGAAAGAGCATTTTGCAAATTCATTTGGAATAACAAAAAACCCAGGATAGTGAGAACTATTCTCAACAATAAAAGAACTTCTGGGGGAATAACCATCCCTGACCTCAAGATGTACTACAGAGCAATAGTGATAAATACTGCATGGTACTGGTACAGAGACAGGCAGGAAGATCAATGGAATAGAATTGAAGACCCAGAAATGAACCCAAACACCTATGGTCACTTGATCATTGACAAAGGAGCTAAAACCATCCAGTGGAAAAAGGACAGCATTTTCAACAGATGGTGCTGGTTCAACTGGAGGTCAGCATGTAGAAGAATGCAAATCGATCCATTCTTATCTACTTGTACAAAGCTCAAGTCCAAGTGGATAAAGGACCTTCACATAAAACCAGCTACACTGAAACTAATAGAAGAGAAGGTAGAAAAGAACCTCCAATACCTACGCACAGGGGAAAAGTTCCTGAACAGAACACCAATGGCCTATGCTCTAAGATCAAGAATTGACAAATGGGACCTCATAAAATTGTTTGGTATTTTGTATGATACTTTCATCTTGATAAGCATCTCCTTTTCTAGGTTAGGGAAATTTTCTTTTATAATTTTGTTGAAAATGTTTTCTGCGAGTTTGAACTTTTCTCCTTTTTCTGTCCCTATTGTTCATAGAGTGGACCTTTTTATTGCATCCTGAATTTCCTGATTGCTTTGTGTCTGAATTATTTTAGATTTAACATTTCATTTCATCCCACTTTTTATATGTGTTTTTCCCAGACTTCCTTAAGGAGTTTACTCATACCCTCTTTGAGGTCCTTGAACATATCCATAATCACTATTTTGAAGTCTTTGTCTCATGCTTCAGCTGTATTGCATTTCTCAAGACCTACTGTAGAAAATTTGATGGGTTTTGGTAGAGACATATTGTCCCTTTAGTGTTATGATTGTGTTTTTGCACTGGTATATAGGAATCTGTGTTTGGGATGGTTGTGGATCTAGATGTTGATACCTGGTTCTGTCTTTCTTGAGTGGGTATTCTGTTCTTCAGTCTTTCTGTGACCCTCCTGATCTTAGGAAATTTTAATAGCTACGGGTTGACTGGTACAGAGTGCTTGTGAGTCCCTGCTAGGTGTGTCCACTTTGGGGCCTTAAGTGTTTCTAGGTATTGGGGACTGACCCAAAGGAGAATAATTGGGTTACTGTCTTCTCTTTCATATTCCTCCTCTCCATCTCTCCTTCCCTTTCTCTTTGTGGTCCCTACCTCTGACCCCTAGCCTGGTAACTCAAACTCTACCTCTCTCTATTCCCCACAGCAATTGGCTGTTGCTAGTTTTATTTAACCAATAGCTTTAAATTGAGGAGTGGCTTTACATAGTATTACTTGATGCACATGAGGCTCTGCTCTTTGGGGGCAACTTGATCTTGGTAGCTAGAATTTAGCATTTGAGTACATAGCAGCACCAGACCAAAATATTACACTCCCTTCCTTCGTTATAAGGCTCAGGGAGCATCAATCAAGATGAGAGAGGAAGGATGGTAAGACTCAGGTGGACTCTGCAGAGAAATAGTCTTTTCTAGACATGACAATGCTACTGCACACTTAAACCCACTGCAGCTGTGACCACATGCATAAGACCTACACATCAAATCAGCCAAAATCTCATCATGGATGAGGGAGATACCCATGATGCCTGTTGCTGTACTATCGTCACATTATGCCTGCTGGGAGATACATTGTCTTCAGCCCTCGAGAGCCAACTCATGTTCCAGAAGATCATCCTACACCAGTTCACACTAAGTAGACTCAGTAGATTAAAAAACATGAAACAACACATAAAGTTGGGATGGAATAGCCATGGTGAGAGGGTAGAAAAGAATCTGGAGGAAGTGGATCAGGCATTGGCTTTAATCAAAAGTATTTTGAGCATGTATGAAATTCCAAAATAATAAAAAGGAAGAATAAAGGATACCAGTTATGACTGGCTCTGAGTGAAAGCACTCTGATCGTGTTTGGGTGAGTGTAATCCTTTCTCAAGGATTCTAGTTCCAAATACTCTCTTCTAAGTCCAGGACTTAGAAGTCAACATTTTGTTTGGCAGAGACTCTAATTAAACCTATAACAATCTACATTCTGTCTTCTGCTCTCTGTCCTTACCACATATAAAATGTGGTTATTCTATGGCTAAGCTTTTAAAAGTCTACCTTATTCTACCCTCGGCTGTACCTTAACAACATCTTAGTATCACCTACACATGTAATGTGCTTCCAATTGTAGTTTTCAAATGAGAAACTTAAATGGAAAGGTAGACTCATAGCCTCCAAATTTCCAGACCTCAGAATAAAACAATTTTCTTATGTTCTAAAGCTTGGACATTTCTCTAGTTTCATTCTCTATTTAGTGTACACAGAGAAATGGGGGGCCACCCCCTGTGAATGCACAACAAAGGGGTCACTGCTTTATGTTCATAGCTAGATGGACTATACTTTCTAAAATCAAAGGGATGGTGGTGGCTCTGACTCCTGGTCACGTGACTTTGGGCTTGTAGAATTGAAGGCAGGTGTGTTGATATTTGACCACATTGAGAATCATTCTTTCCGTTTTCAAAACCTTCAAACATACTCATGAATAAATAAGTCAGGCATGTATGTGTATGTGTATGTGTATGTGTATGTGTATGTGTATGTGTATGTGTATATGTATATGTATATATTCTCAGCCAACAGATATGAAACGGGGCTCAAGGTACCACCTGAACTTTTTTATGTACAAATGGTAGGATGTAAACTTTTATTGATGATAGGTTGTTCCTGTGGCTGATCTGGAACTGCAAAGCTATCTTTACTCTTCTATGTTATCTTCTGTTCCTAAAGAATTTTCGTTCTTTGGAAGCTTCCAAGATACCAGAAAATAGATCATTTAGCCAGGAAGTTGCCATTTAGAAGACACCCCTCCCAAGTATTCTATTTGGTCCTTCATTCTGTCTGTCCACAGCGACACACTCTATCAACACACTCTATCTTGTTGAGTGGTAGAGGCTTAACCTGTCAGTGCATGAGATATTTGTTTCTGAAAGGAAGCCGGAAAAGAAGAAAATGCTCTGGAAATAAGAGTAAGGTATAGTTGGCCAATACAAATGAGGGTGCCAGCATAGCATGGAGCCCTGCATGGCCTGCCAGAATACAGGTTATGTAGCATTTCTGAGTACACAGTTTCTGAAACCTCATTAGCAAAAGGGTCTTGAGGGTGAAAAGATGTGCTCAGTATGAGCACAGAGGAACGGGAGAGCTCATCACTTCCTTTGATGTCGCATGCCTAGAAAGAGATCTAGATACAGGGCTGTGACTGCTGTTGTTCGCATTTGGAACATCACTTGGAGGTATGCTCTCCAAACAGTTAAGCTTGTAGGAATGAAAGGATCTAAATAGGCAAAAGCAGAGGATGCTTAAACAGAGGCTCAGTGAGAAAGGACAGTCACTCTTAGTGCCTGATGACCCGAGTTCAGTCTCTGTGTCCCATGGAAGAGGAAAGAAAACAAATTCTAAAAGTTATCGTCTGAACTTCATAGGCATGTCCTGGCAGGAATGAGCATCCACTTACACGCACACATACACACAATCAAAATATATAGACAAATTAAAAAACAATTGATGCCAAAACAATGTCTTTATTGGGAAACACTTGTTTTATATTATGTGTAACGCTACAAGAGTGTTCTGTTCTTTCAGTTTGAGTTTATCATTTGAAAAGATGTCATCCAAACACCAAAGCTGGTAGGAACATGGGGATTTCGACAGTCAAAAGCAACTAATGTCAGGAAGGCTCTGTTTACTGGAGAGCACCTGTGTGAGGTTGCTCCAACTTTAGAAAGTCTCAGGAAGGAACATGTGATCAGGTCATGGCATCCGTGCATGGTATTGAGGACTACAGGGCAGTCAGCATCTTAAGGACATCACAGTCCACACACACAGGGCAGGTGACTCCTATGGAGAGAGGACATAGATGGTAACACAGATTAGTGAGGGCTAGCAGACAGAGCCATGTGTCCAGTTCCCTTGTCTGTTCGACTTGCAGCCATTTGGAATACTGGCTGCTACTGACCACTGGACCCACAGTTCTGTTGCTTGCCTTCCCTTCACATGAAGTGCCCCTTAATGTAAGCATGAATGTACCACTACCTTTTGCTCCTCAGGCTTCAGACTTCTCTCCTGACAAAGCAAGCACCCCTGTACCTGATTCCTCAGCACCCTGGAGTGCCACTTCTCACAGCCTCTGGACCACAAACAAAGATGGTCCATGGGCTCACTTATCTCCCGTATTTACAAAGATGCTTCAAAACCCTCATGGGTCTCTGGTCTCAAAATGATAAGTATGCCCTAAATGGCATTGAAGAACATTAACTGGTGTGGGAAACAAAACCAACAACACTTTGTAGCAATGTAGCAAGAAACTGAGCCTTATGAATCCAAAGCATAAGAAGTCACCAAAATATATCTTAAATTTACGTGATTGTATGAGTGGTGCATGTTCGAAGAACTAATGGCTACGTGTGTAGAAAATACTAAGGAGAAGGATTCGAGACATCGTGGTAGCCCAGGCAGTTTTCTCTGCCTCTGACAGGTGCTTGCTGCATCCAGCAGGAGCTGGAGCTCAACTCCATAAGGTGTGCATCTCAGCACATCCACTGCTGTAGGTATCACTACCATCCCACGGGGAGGCCCAGGGAGTCCGCCATGCACCACCTAGAAACACTGGGGTAGTCGGGTCTCCTGGTTGCTAAGATACTCACCTCTAAATGTGTCTTAATTCTTGAAAGGTTAATGAATGTATTGTCCAGTGAAGGTGTCTGGGTATAGAATTAACCCTCCTTTTGGACAGTAGCACATCCCGGGACCATGGTGGAAAGGTTTTGTGTGATGAACACTGCCCTGTAGCTGCTCTTGAAACTGCACAAAGTACCCATGATTGGGTTGGGAGCGGTGTCTAAACTGTGGGAAGAATGCTGCTGTTTTCCGGGACCGGCCACGCTTTCCCTTGAGCCTGTGAACCTTTGCCCGCTGTTGGCGCACTTGGGCCAGGTCTTCATCCAGGCTGTATCCTTTGACCTTGATTTGCCGAGGAACGACTTCTCGGAGATGTAATGGTGCTTTGTAGGACTTCAGAGAGACTCCGTGGGATTTCAGCTTGGTTTGTGATTTCACCTGCCCTATGGTCTTTAGCTGGCCTGTTTGTGATTTCACCGGCCCTATGGTCTTTAGCTGGCCTGTGGTCTTTAGCTGGCCTGTGGTCTTTAGCTGGCCTGTGGTCTTTAGCTGGCCTGTTTGGGACTTCAGCTGGACTGCATGGGATTTCACTTGAGTTTGGGATTTTATTTGTGACTGAGATTGTGGCTGGGATTTTTGTTGGGCAAGCTCATCTTCTTCATCACAAACTATGTCTTCCTTTATACCTGTCTGTTCCTGTGAACTGTGAGCCTCTCCCATGTCAGCATCAACATCCTGGCCATATGCATGGTGCTTAGTTTGCACAAAGATGCTTTCTTCAGGGGCCTCTTCCTGTTCTTCTTTGTGACCATAGAGAAACTGGCCATTTCCGAGAAATACGAGTGGGGATGTTTTTACTACAAAGTGTCCTTTTGTCCCACCTGCTAATGGATGACAAGAATCTTTGAGTTACATTATCTGTACAGCTCCCTTGCAAGTCTCATCCCAGAATTCCCCATCAACCCACTGGCATACCCACAGGTATGTGGGTGTGGGTGGAGAACACTCAAAGTCCGTCATGATCACCCCATGGAGGCTTCTTCTCACTGCCAGAACACCCTTATGGACATTCTCCCTGAGTGCCTTTCTTTCCAGGCCGCTCCCTGAACTCACCATAGAATTCTATCCCAGCTGCTTTCTTCTCTAGAAGGAGGAGCAGAGAAAGGCTGAGGAAGATGGACTTCATCTTAGCAGGAAGGGCCTTCACTGAGAGCTCAGCTGGTCTCCTCATTTATATGTTCTTTGCTGGGTGCAGAAATGTGGCTGTAGTCACAAAAGGCATCGCCTGTCCTTACTTATCTGGCTTGCTGGCTTCTCCCTTATTCTCAGTAGGAGATGTAAACATTCCTAGAGACTAGAGACACATGATGTCAGAGTCTTTGTCTTACCCCGACAAGTCCCAGAAGAACTTTAGATCTTTATCGCCACCTCAAGATCATCACATGATGTTTCCAGGAGAAATTCAAGGCAGCGATCACAGGAGTAACCAGAGCCCGTCCAAGATTTTCTAGTTCAAGTGTGGGGTCTTGTCAACAGAGTTCTGAGCTTCATGCTGCATCAAAAATATAATATGCACTTTTTTTTTTTTTTTGGTTTTTCGAGACAGGGTTTCTCTGTGTAGTTCTGGCTGTCCCAGAACTCACTCTGTAGACCAGGCTGGCCTCGAACTCAGAAATCCACCTGCCTCTGCCTCCCAAGTGCTGGGATTAAAGGCGTGCGCCACCACCGCCCGGCTATAATATGCACTTTTGTTTCCTTTCAAATGAGATGGACACAGATCTGTTTCAGGTGAAAAGGAAACAGGAAAGAAGGTATGTTTATGGAATCTAAAGAAAATTTCAAAAATAACCAAGATATAACTGCATAAAAGTAACTCTAAAATGCCTGCCCTTACTACTGCCCTATGTGAGAATCCCCCAGTGATTCCTGTCATTAGTAGCTTTGATGAGAGACTCTGAGTGAGGTATGGCAGCCCTCATCTGCAGGTAGGAGAGAGCAGAGACGTGCTCAAGAGGACTCCGTGGTTATGTATTCAGTAGTGTCAGCATTGGGGCTGCATCTCAAGAGTGAGTGGAGCTGCAGAGGGATGTTCAGGTATGGGAGAAACCATGTTTGGCTGGAAACAGGATGACTGTTGGAACACGGGGAAGGAAACTGGCCTCCTTAAATATATTCTTGAAATCATCTAAAATCCACATTACCTGCTTGATGAGGAAAAACTCCTTTGCAGATGCAAAACCCCTTTCTACAGGTCACTGCTTATGTCTGCCCTCCCTGGCGAATGTGTTAGTAGAAGAGTGTGAGAATGTCCTGAGACTGGATGCAGTGGGATCCTCTCCACTTCCTGGAAACGTGAAGTCTCCTGCATCTGTGAGAAGACCTTGCAGGAACTTGCAGGAATCACCATGGATTCGGTAAAGTTCATAAGGCAGGCCTGAGCTTTCCCAGGCACCCAGTGGTGTGGACAGAGCAGGGAAGAGTCAAGCATCTCTGCAGAGAGCCTGCATGCACCCAGCCCTGCCCTGCAGGGGGATGCAACAGAAGGCTGGTGAAAAAGTGTTTTAGGTCATTCTATCTCCAAGTGTTGATTTACCTGGAACAATGCTGTGGAAGGGGTTAAGGCAAAGCTTCATGGGAAGAACAAAGATGCAGGCACTAAGCCATGCAACAGAACACGCGGATGCTGGCTTTAATCTAGGAGCTCTGAGCTCCTCCTAATCTTATCTCTGTGCTCCAATCCTGAAGATAACTCATCCCTCAGTACAGATGCCAGTCACAGTTTTGACATTACCAAGAAGTCCAGTCACTTCCTCTTCCTGCTTGCTTCTCCCCTACTCCATGCACTTCCCTTGAGAACAAACCAGGTGGAACTCTTCTATGGTGAGCTGACTTGTGGCAGACCAGGGTCTGGAAAATGGCCCTTGTTAGTGGGTAGAAAGTAAAATGTGTGCCTTCAAGGTCTGTGCAAGAGATAAAGATGAAATGTAAATGCTCATCGTATTCATAAAGAAAATCAGGGAAAGTCCAATAGAAACTCCCAGGAGAATCTGACTCCACATCCAAACAGATCCCAATGGTAGTTATAGACTGCTGTACTCCAGGAATGCACAATGTCGATAAATGTCAACAGAAGATCCATGGTGTCTAAAGAAGAGAAATGGTGTGTTGATGGCAACCATCTTGGTAGAGTGCAACTAGGACTAGGAAAACCCTTGGGACAAGTTTGAAGTCAATGACAGAAGTAGGGCCTTATAATTGTTACAGGTATAGACAAATTATACTCCCAACACAGAAGAGAAATCACGTTAAATTCTTATCTTAGGTATAGGAGTTATCTCTTGGTGTACAGGTTGGCATGGGCCTCCACCCTCTGTTTTGATCAGTTAGGTTGTTCTGTAATGGTCTCTGTCAGTTGCAAAGAGAAATTTCAGTGGTGAGAACAATACTTATCTGTGGGTACCAGGAATAATATTATTTTATAATCTTAAAACATAAAAAAATTAAATAAAAATTTCTATTTTTATGAAAATATTTATTAAAACTTTATGACTAAAAATAAAAACTTGCAAATAAAAGAGCATTGTGGTCAGTTCTGCCAACTTCTGGCAAGGAGGAAATCCCATCACTGTTGAGGTACTGTGGAGCCTGAGAGTCAGGTGCTTGCACTTGGCAGGTTGCTCAGCCCTACAGAGCCCTCTGTTCTACCTATGGTTTGTTGCTCAGCAAGTCTGAGCTCTCTGAGCCCAGCTGCTCAGTTCTTTCCCCAGCCTTCCTCCTCCCGAGGGATGTTTACTGCAGAGAAAGCTCTGAAAGCAGGAGAGAGGGCTGACTCCTCAACCCTCCACCTCAGTGCAGACTTCTTTGTTCTGTTCACTTCCCCCACTCTCTGACATTCTCAAATGTCACCCCATAGCTTAGTCATTTGCTGTCTCTGGGTGAAAGTCTTCTAGAGTGAGTGGGAACTTGCCAAATCCACATCTTGAAATTCACTGGGACATGCGATGGCTTTGGTACCCAAAGAAGGCTTGGTTGTTATGTGAATGCAGCCCCAATGCTGAGAACTGACCCTTGAGGCTCCCGAGCCCCCATCTTGCACAGAATCCCAGCTGGAATCATGGATTCCATGATGACTATTCCTTCCTGCATGTGCTTGGAAGATTCTAGTAGTATAGGATCCTTAAATACCCCCTCTCAAATTCCCTCTCATTTTTGAATGATTTCTAATTTTTTATTTTTCCTTTTACTATATTTCTAGCACTGACCATAAAAGAGCAAGTCATATGTAATTTCAATAGCCCTACTCTGCTCTGTATTGCCTGTGGTGAGATTATCTAAACAAAAGAAAATTAACAAAGTTCTGGTTTAAACAACTGCAGGTCAAATATGCATAATAGACATCTACACAACTGATGTTAATATTCATTACTGGAAGCCATGGAATTTTCTCTAGGACCGTGATAAAGTTATAAACAGTATCACAAAACAGTACAGAAGCTACAATGACACGAAGATTAACAATACATACTTTTTATTGGTTAATACATCTTTGAAGAAATCTGGGAGGTAATGAAAAATGTCAGGAGCCATCATAGGACAAACTAATAATTAGCAGGTGATCTTCCTGAGATGACTGGCTTAGAGTAACTTCTACGATGAAACTGGTAGGCAAGGCCCAGTAGAAAATCATTTTAGGAAATATTCCTGCTATTAACATGCTTTTCTTGTTATTATTAAACATATGTAACAATCATTAGGTATTAGCCCGCTCTTTTGAGCAGATCTTTGCAGGTCTATGAAGATGTACTGTCTTGTAGTGATGCTATATAGACAAATGAATGACTTCTTAAATCTTAATGATGAGCCTCTAAGAATTCCTAGGACTATATCAGTGTTTATTAAGCTCTTTTATAACGGGACTGCAATTAGATCCTTTCTGATAGTCAAAACTGCAATGAGAACTCTGTCAGTCTCCCATGTATCACCAGTTAACTGCTTCTAGATAGTAACCAGACTTTCTACTATTCAGAAAACATTTTAGAGGTTGTGAAACCATTAACCAAAGGTCATAAAAAGAGAAGAAATGATTTATTATAGGTGCTAAGACAGAAGATAAAATATTGACTGGGTTTATCTATACAAAACTTCACTAATAACTCAGTTATGGTTTTTAACTTTCAGTGAACCTGTGGAGCTGTGAGAGGTGGTGAATGTTTAGCCAGATAATTACTCCTAATGGATATACATGTAAAGTAAACACTCTCTATTGTAAACTTCTTATTCGATTTATGATTTGAATTTTATGTGGAACTTGTGTGAACTTTTTACCATGTGATCACGTATTCTGAAAAGATGTATAAGTGCTGAGGACAGAGGGAAGGGTCAGAATTGAGCTGAGGAGAATTTTTTAGACAGAACACCTTTTAGACAGAACTGAACTCAAGAAGAACTTAGAAGTAGAGGCATAGCATTGGGAGAAAAGACATTGGGAGTAAGAGCATTATTCTGGCATCAGAGCTGGAGGAGAGAGCAAGATTAGGAGAAAGCAGGGTGGAGTAACTTAGAAACTATAGGTAACATAAAAAACCTAAGAGAGCAATGTGCAGAATGCAGAGGGAACGAGGAAGAAAGAAGCTGCAGAGTGGGCAGAAGGAGCAGGGCAAGCTTCTCCTTACCATGGGTCAGAACAGGTCTTTTCTTAATAAGGCAGGCTTAGTCTTATTAAAGGAACAAAGCTTTCTTCTTACAAACTTGGGTTTAATTCATTTAATGAAAGGGTAGAAGCTTTTTATTTCTCTATGCAATGAAGATTGGAGTACACTTTTCATCCAGAATGAGTGAGCTCTTTCTGCACTGGTGCTCGGTCTTTTGCTGCAAATGCATATATGGAAGCATGGATGTGTGTGTGTAAGTATCTGATTGTGAGACTGTACGCATGTGTGTGTGCAAAAGTATGTAACTGTGAGAACACAGACAAGCTGGGATAAACTGGTTTGAATGGAAATGTATAAATGTGCATGCATGACTTTGTGTATGAGTTTATGTGAATTTATGCATATTTGCTTATGTAAAAATTTGTCCTTCTGTGAGCATTATTCTCTTCTCCTGGTTCCATAGAAGTTTACTGCTGCAAATGTTCCCCTAGCCTGACAAGCAAGAGGCATCTGGGCAAAAGAGAAAAGGCTCTGGCAAGTAATCTTTTA